TTTAAAAAGAATAAAATGAGTTTTCTTTAAAAAAATTTTAAACAATTTTTATTTTATATGTATGAATGTATGTCTGCCTGTGTGTAAGTGCACCATGTGCATGTAGTGTCCACAGAGGCCAGAAGAGGGCACTGAATCCCCTGGAACTGGAGTTACAGACAGTTGTTAGTTGTCTGCCATGTGGGTGCTGAAGACAGGTTATCTGCAAAGCAGTCAGTGCTCTTAACCACTGAGCCATCTTTCCAGGCCCAATGATTCCATTTTTTTTTTTTTTTTGAGGCAGGGTCTCACCATGTAGCACTGGCTGTCATGGAACTTACTATGTAGACCAGGTTGACCTGGAACTCAGAAGGGTTTTTCTGCCTCTGTTTAAAGAGCTTGGATTAAAGGCATGTACCACCATGCCCAGCTATACCTGTCTTTAAAAAATGTAATAATTTGGAAGTATGTTTTTATAAATATTTTATTTTTATTTATTTAAATGTGTGTCTGTTCATGTATGCCACATGTTTGTGGGTGCCCATGGTGGTCAGAAGGGGGCATGAGATCCTCTGGGTCTTGAGCTACAGATAGTTGTAAGCAGCCTGATGTGGGTGTAAGGAACTGAACTCAGGTCCTCTGCAAGAGCAGTAATGCTTTCAATTGCTGAGCCATCTCTCTGGCCCTCTTTCTTTTTAGACAAGATCTTACTATCATAATCCAGGTTATCCATGTACCGAGGATCCTCTTTCTTCAACCTCCTACATGCTTGGATTGTAGGTGTGAGTCACATCTGGCTTTACCTATTTCTTTCTACTGATTATTGTTTCATTTGTTCATTTTTGTTTTTGAGACAGAGTCTCACTATGTAGGTTAGTGAGCCTCTGCTTGAACTCAAGAATCTTCCTGCCTCAGTCTTCAAGTGCTGGAATGGTAGGTGTGCACCAGCATGCCTGGCTAGTGGATTTGTCCTCTTTTTTGTTTGCTGAATATTTATTAATCACCTGCTCTGCAATCACCCATCGTTTTAGGTGATGTAGGTTAACAGAGAAGACATTCTTCTCTCTTTATGCAGGCAGGGAGCATAGATTGAGAAATACATAGATAAATTTGTAAAGCAAATTTTATAAAACCAAGTGGTAGGCTAAATATATTGGGGCTAAAAGATGGTGTACCGATCCCAGACATCTTGGCTTGGTTCTATTTCAGATGACATTGAGACTTGGAGAAAAAAATATGATACAATGAAACTTTCTGATACCTATACACCAGACCTTGTGATGGATCTCCTGAGGGTGTCTAAGGAGAACGTCCGGATGAACAAGGATAAGATCCTCAGTGAGATGCAAAAGGTGGCCAGGTGAGAGTTAGACTGCAGCTGCTCTGATCTCTGTATTTGATCTGCAGATATCTATTAGAGAATTTCTGGTATATCAGGTATGAGGGTTGTGAATGTGGTCAGCAATAGAAGACTTATCTAGAATCCCCCATTGAAGGGCTGAAGGCCTGGCTCAGGGGTAGAGCACCTGCCTAGAATCTCCCAGTGAGGGGCTGGGGGTGTGGCTCAGGAGTACAGTGCTTGACAGAGAAATGTGACAGGGAGAGAGAAATCATTTCTTCCCACTTGAAGTTGTATCTGTGTAGGTGAGGAAGGTGTGGACAGCACTGGAATAGGTGGCTTTCTGAAGCATGAAGCATTTCATGCCTCTGGATGACTTCACATACTGGATGACTGACGAAATGATTAAACAGGAAGCAGTCAATGGACACCCCTGTCATAGCCCTTAACAACTGACATTGAGTCCCCTGGTCATGGCTCTTTGCTCTGGAAATATCTTTTAGATGACATTCAGAGCTTCTTCTCGTTCTTCTCTCAGGGAACCCCCGAACTTCCCAGTGGTGAACAAGGAGGAACACTTGGAGGACATAGTGAAGGATGTCCAATGTTCTCGGAGAGTGGAGATCAATATCTCCAACAACACGGGCCTGACATTTACAGGTCCCTTGTAAGTTTACTCCTTGTCTTTTCCTCCTTGTGTCCTCCCCTCCCCCAACCTCCCTGCCCCCTGTTATGTGATCAGTGGGTATCTCTGTGCATGAGCTTCCAGTTCAGACACAAGGTCTAAACTTCAGACCTTAGTGTGTGAATAGCCTTGGATTCCCCTCTGTAAAGACTTAACAATGAGTGTGATGAAAATCAAAGTAAGCTCATAATAAGCTTGCTTTTAAAATATAATGATTTTTTCTTTGTGAACATCATACACATATACAATATATTTTGATAATCTTTACCCCCCACTGCTCCCTCCAACTACTCCAAGATATCCCATGACCCTGTCTCAACTTCATGTCTTCCTGTGGGATCATTCACTGGAGCATGGTTGACCTACCAGCAGCCATACCCCTACAGAAAACCAACTCTCCCTCCCTCAAAAGCTATCAACTGTCAGTTACTCCTCAGTTAGGGGTGGGGCCTTGTGAGCCTCCTCCCCTGTCCATGCTCGAGTATTGGATTGGCTTGATCTTGTGCAGGTCTTGTGCAGGCAACCCCAGCTGCTGTAAGTTCACGAGTCCTGCTGAGCACGTTCCCCCTTTTAAGGACTTGCCCTTCCTCTTAGAATCTTGTGGGTTTCCCCACCTGGAAGTAACTACTGTTGGTTTGCCCCCACCTCCCAATGTGAGCAGCAGATCACATGGTGCATCTGAGCCAGGTTTTTCATAGCTGCCTCTGCTCATGGGCAATGAACTTGCTCCTCTTGCTACCAAGCACTTGGGTAGTGAACTGGGTGAATCAAGGGAAAGAGTGCTAGCTGTGAAGGAGTCTGCAGGAACAGAATTCCATGTAAAGGGGAAGCACATGCAAAGGCCCTGGGATAGGAATGGATTTGGCTTATTCCACAAGCAGGAAGAAACCTGTTCTTGTTGGCACCATGTGAGTATGGAAAAATATGAGGGGAAATGTGAATGTGGATTTTGGCAAGTATAAAATTTGATGTAGACTAAAGAGTTAACTACAGTTGTCCTTAGAATTGACATAACTGAATAAACATTTGCATGGTAAATAGACTATGGGAACTCCCAAATGGTAGTGGAGCTGAGATTAAATCCAGGTATTCTTAGGGATATTCTCCCAAGTCATGCATGATGGTCTGTAGAAGCTTCCAGCTCTTCTAGTGTTCTCCAAGTACAAGGCAACCTGCATAGAACAATAGTGACCTCTAAGTCCCTGTTCCCAGGTTCTATTTCCAGAGCGGCCATGCTCCAGAGTGCCCACCATCCATGCTCCATCCAGAGTCCACTGTCACCTGCTCCTTTGTGAAGAAGAGCTCCAGCTTTGAGAGCACTGTGGGCCTGATGGTCTACCAGGGTCCTGACTTCCACCTGGCCTTCCTGTTCTCTGCTCCATTCAGCTATGCCCTCCACAGAGTTGAATTTGCCTTGGCCGTCCTAACTGGGCCAGTCAGCAAACACCTGCAGAGTGTTTTTGACAACATCATTCAAGGCAAGGAGTCTCAGGAGCTGAAGGTGGAGAAATGTGTCCTTCAGGTCCCTCAGGGGACGCTGCAGCTTGAACATGACTCCCTGATCATCAGAGCCACCATCTTTAACATCCATGTGGCCAAAATGGATGTGGTGGTTGAGACTAAAGCCAGTTAACAATTTCTCTCATTAACCATTTTGCACCTCCAGTCAGATTGCTTAGCTCTATAGATGTAGAGACCTTGGCGCAAGTCATGATCTTCAGCGCTAAGGAGCACTGAGGAGACACACACTATGTAAATGCTTGCTGGTTGACTGACAGATGGACTACTTGCTTGCTGACTTGTGTTTCTAAGTCTCTCACTAACCTGCTGCATTCCCCCTGCTCTCCTTCCCCACTCCCTCCATCTATGAGACTCCATAGTCCACATCCAGTTTCAGTCTTGATTCAACAGTCTGCTCATCACAAGAACATAGCAAGTTCCTTTGCCTCTGTGCCCCTCTTTCATCATCTGCAGAACAGATAACCATGGTGCCTCTGTGATGGGGAGGCTCAGTGAATTGAGTCCCAAGACCTTAGGACATTGTCCAGCACAGGCTGAGTTTTCAAGAGATATTACTCATTCCGATCCCCCCCCAAGTAAATGCTGGTTTCTTTTCTTTAAAAAGTCATTTTTAGATATCATAAAATAATGGGTTGTGTTCTAATTTCATTTCTGTTGCTGTGATAAAACACTTTTACCAAAGGCACTTTGGAGAGGGAAGGGCTTGTTTACCTTATACTTCTAGGTCCATCACTAAGGGTTGTCAGGGCAGGAACTCAAGCAGGAGCTTGAAGGCAGATCTGCTCCAGGTACCATTACCTCCAACCAGGGGACTCACTCATAGCCAAGGAATTACAGCAGGAACCACAGAGGGTGCTGCTTGCCAGCTCACTCACAGGCTCATTCTCAGCTAGGGTGCTGCTTGCTGGCTTACTTACAGGCTCATTCTCAGCTAGCTTTCTTATACGGCCCAGAACCACCTACCTAGGGAATGATGCCACCTACAGTGGGCTGAGACTCCTACATCAGACATATCCCCAGACCAATCTGATCTAGAGAATTCCTCAGTTGAAGGCTTTTCTCAGGCAATTTCTAGGTTGTGTTAAAGAGACAGTCAGAGCTAACTAGGCCAGTCTCACCATGGTATTTTATACATATAGGACCCAGTACCTTGTTTGTGTTTCCCCCATGGTCACCCCTTTGCCTTCCTTCCCTGTCTTTCCTTCCTCCTTCCTTCTCCTTTTGTTTCATATGTGTGTATTTGTGTGCAAGTGTGTGTGTATTAACCTAGATTCTGCATATTAAAGAAGACATATGATATTTGTCTTTGCCCAGTTTCTCTCATCCCCTCCCTCTAGATCCTTTCCTTCCCCTAAATAGTCCTCTTTCCACCTCCATGGCACACATGTAACTACGTGCAGATAGACGATAGCCAGATCATTGAAGATAGATAGACAGATGATAGACTGTAGAAGATGGGCAGAGAAATAGACGGTAGATAATAGAAGGTAAATGAATAGATGATACGTAGACAAAGAATGATGGATAGATAGATGATGATGATAGCTAGTACACATCTGACCGAAAATGCATTTGTCTTTCTGAGGCTGGTTTCTTCACTTAACATGTTGGTTGCTGGTTTCATTCATTTTCCTACAAATGGCATGACCTCATTTTTCTTCATGGCAAAATAAACTTAAAGCCTTCTATGAGCTGAATTGTTTATCTCCCTAAAAATGTTAATGTCATGACCTCCGGTATGCTGCATCTATGAGTGGATATCCTTCCCACTGTGGCAAGGTTATAGTATCCCATGCCCCACCCCCATGTGCAGACTCCTTCCTAGCCTACGTACCTATAAGCCACATCCTGGATGCTTCCTGCACATACACACCATTCTCACTCAGCTTGTGTTCCAACACGCCACACCGAGTAACCCTTCCATGAGTTCACCTTCACCTCCTCAGGGCCCATGCATTAGTGTTTTCCATCACTATCACAGAGTGCTTGAGGCTAGGTACTGAGCAAAGAAAAGAAGCTTTTTATAGCTCAAAGCTTTGGAGGTTCAAAAGGCATAGCATTGGCATTGATTGGGTTCTGATGGGGACAGACAGCCATGCTGTCTTTCTGTGGGGAAACTCCTCACCCCGCTTCATCTGGGAGCTCTCACTTTCCATACCACCCTCCTGTTGCAGGGTTTTGGGGGTGAGTGGTGGTCACTGAGTTCAATCCATAGGACAAAGAAAGAATTGGAACCTGGGAAAAGCAGAAGACCCACACATAGGAAAAGGAAAAGGGCAAGCAGGAGGAATGGGGAGTATTGGGGGGAACACAAGTCATCAGGGCTCGGCAGGCCAGTGAGAGGAAATCACTGTAGCAGGGGTAGCAGGTCGGAGAAATAAGAGTGACCACAGGAAGAGAGAGCTGATGAGTTGTCACCAGCATCCCGGGGCAAAGTGACCCAACATGGGGGGTGGCGGAAGAGACCATAAACATTGGACAGACAACTCCCATTGGGATGGGGGGGCAGAGCTAGGAATACCTCCAGGAGCCCTTGTTTTGACTTTTTATAGCATCCCGAGACCCTCCCCTTTCCTAATTCCTCTTCTTCCTCATTAGAGTTGCCAGGGTACCCTCCTCCCCTTCCCCCAGCTGGGCTTTTAAATTCTGACTTTTGATGGTAAAAGTAACAGTTGCAAAAAACTCCATGAGGGGGATAAGCAGTGTCTTTGGGAGCAAGAGGAAGCCTTTTAAAAAAAACATTTTATTATTTTTATTTTATGTGTATGAGTGTATTGCCTGCACGTATGTGAGTGCACCCGTGTCGTGCAATGCCACGGAGGTCAGAGCAGGTCTTCGGATTCCCCTGGAACTGGAGTTAAGGACGGTTCTTAGCTGCCATGTGGGTGCTGGGAATCGAACCCAGGTCCTCTGCAAGAGCACTCAGTGCTCTTAACTGCTGAGCCATCTCTCCAGCCTCATCAAATAAAGGCCCCATTTTCTCTGTTATCCAGGTGGAACAGAACAGAAGGGAAGAGATGAGCCAGGATGAGGAACTTCCTTACTCTCAGTCCCTATACATACTCACTTCCCAGAACCTGGTATTATCTGGCACTTTCTTCCAAGTTGAAGCACCCCAGGGGTGGCAGGAGTCTATTAATACCCATGAAGATATCAGACCTACCAGGCTCAGGGTGCTCATGAAACTTAAAAGGATCAGGAAGTTCAGAAAGCTACAAGATTCCCAAGGCCCCTCCCTCCCCGAAGCTACAGAAGCCACTGCGGAAGGTGAAAGGACCCCAGTGGTACTGCCTGCAAGCTGTGCAAGGATCTCTAAGGATGCAGCTTCCCCTACCCTCACCCATGTTGAGGGTGGGCTTTTGCAATGCTCCTGTCGGTAACCCTTCACCCATTCTCCTATATGTAACTCCAATAAACTCCTTAGTTCACTGAGCTAGCCTTGAATGGAATCGTTTCTTCAGTCTGCTGCTGGTGCTGTATCTGAGAGGAAAAGAGGTGTGTTCATTTCTTCCCAGGAAAAGTCACACAACACCTAGTGATAGGTGGTTGTTTTATATCTTTTATGTATTCATTGACAATTTCATACGTGTATATGATGTATCTTGATCATATTCATCCCCAAATCCCTCCCCCACGCTCCCCAGACACTCCACCCAGCACATCCCCCTTCCACCGTCTTGCCCCCTCCTTTTATAAACTTTATAGTGCACTGAGTGCATTAGTACTGCCTGCTGGAATACTTAGTGATCTTGTTGACTTGGTCAGGTACAGGTTTTGTGCAGATAACCACAGCTGCAAGAGTTAAAAAATTGCAGTAGCTATATCTTGTCCAGAAGTCAGCATTTCACAGTACACCTTCCTGTTCTCTGGCTCTTTCCACCTCTTGTCCCAGTGTTCCCTGATCTTTGGATGTGGAGTAGGAGAATTAACATAGATCTCCAATTTAGGGCTAAGCACTGAATAGTCACTTATTCTTATCACTTTGACCAGTTATGAGTTTCTGCATTAACTGTTCCCCACTACAAAGTGAGATTCCATGACCAAGGTTGAAAGCAGACTAATTTTAGGCAGAAACATTAGTATTTACAAGGCAGTTTGACAGCATGTCCATTTAGTCAAACAACAATAGCATGTTCCTCTAGGGCCTGTGACATCCCAGCATCAGGTAATTCTTGTCCCCTGCTCCTTTGAACGTATGACTGACTTTCTCAGGAAAGCTCTTTGAGCCCAAAGGCTACATCCGTCCTCTGTCTTTCACTCCCCAAAGATCAATCAGACTTAGAGGAAGCACTCAAAATGCTTGTTGAAAAAAAAAAAAATGAATAGAGGTTCTGTGCTCTAATCCCCATTTCAAAACGTCCTTTCCAACTCCATTTTGGCAATAAAGAGTATTAAAGCCCCACACTGCCTCCCCAGGCCCATCTTTACTCCAGCCAGATGGGGAGGCAGGAACAGTCCTAATCCCCCTGCCGCCTGGATAGAGATTTCCCACCCAGCTGTCACAGCTCTTCAGACACAGGGACTGACTGAGGGAGAGGCAGAGAGAGTTGGCAAAGGATTGAGACCACTGGGAAGCTTGACTGCCTGCTTCAGTGGAGCAGTAAGACGGGGCTGTGTTGACATCAGAAACTGGTGAGCCCTACCTGCCCTCCATGCAGTTTCCCATGGGCCCTGCCTGCATCTTCTTGAGGAAGGGCATCACATCACTGAGAAACAGCGGGTGAGGTGGGGATGTCAGGGAAGGGTGGTGGGCAGGGGATGGGGAGCTTGGACATGAGGAAAAGGGAAGGAGCATGGTTTCTATGGAACAAGAGGAGCAGGTAGAAAGCATGAGCAGAGAGGCTAGAAGACCCCAAGTAGCATGGTGTGGGCACAAGGGCCAGCCATCAGAAGTCCAGAGGGAAGGGGGTGGTGAAGCAGGACCAGAGCAAAGGGGAGATGGGATACAGCCATTGTTGAGAATTCCATTCTTTTACGGACACTCATATGATGGTGGTGATGATATTGACGGTAGTATTAGCAATAGCTGCCACTGACTAGGTCTTGCTATGTGCCCAGCCCTGTGAAAAGGGCTCTACATTCCTGATGCCATTCAATCCTTAGAACAGCACATGGGGGTGATGATAGTTTCATTTCCACTTTATAGGCATGCAAATTAAGACCCTTAAGTCATGTAGTCTTATGCTTTAAGCATATGCAGTTACTTTGTGGCAAAGTCAGATCTGCTGGATTCCTGGATGCATTCTTTTCATTGTTAGGCTTTAAGATCACCAGAAAGGGAAGGAAAGGAAGGAGGGAGGAGAGAAGGCGAGGGGAGGGAAGGGAAGGGGAACAGCAGGAAGAGAAGACTGAGCAGGGCAGGGAAGGGGAGGAAGGGAAGGGGAAGGGGAGGGAAAGAAGTCAAGGGAGAGAAGGGACATGAACACAGGATGGGATGGGGGAACAAGACAGAAAAAGAAGGGAAGGAAAAAAGACATGATAGAGGAAGGAGAACAAGAGAAAACAGGAAAAAGGGAAAGCAAGACAAGATAATGGGGAAAGGAAAGGGGAGGAAGTGGAAGGGATGGGAAGAGACGGCAGGAGAAACACAGGAAGGCAAAATTGCATGGGAGGAAAATAAGGAGACCAAGGTGAGGAAACCAAGGTAAGGGGTCTCCAGGAACAAGATGCTGGGCCAGGTATCCAAGCCTGACCCTCGGGTGTGCCCAGGAGTGTGCAGAACATGATGATCAGAAATTCTCAGACGTTTTAAGAACTGGTCAGGCTATCACTGACATTCTTCTTAAATACCACTGAACATAGATCCACACGGGGGGATGCTCACCTTTGGGAAGAAGGATGGAAGTGGGTGCAAAGAGCCAGTGGGATGTAGCAGAAAGAATTTTGACCTGTGAGGAAGTAGTCCTGAGTTCTAATCCCAGTTCTAAGTGTGCAAGTATATGTGTCATAAAAGCAGAAGAGGGGAGGAAGGAAACCAGCAAGTGGGGAAGAGGTGGGATGTGGAAGGGGCAGAGAGTGATCCAAAGATAACAAAATTCGATGATATATGTGTCTGGAAAGATCACAGCGGAAACCCATTTCTTTGTATGCTAAAAATAGTTTTAATAAAGAAGACAGGGCTAAGGGTGTAGGTCAGCTTTTGGTAGAGTGCTTCTCTAGCATGTGAGAGGTCCTGGGTTTGATCTCAAGCACTGTATTGTAATCACAGAACCTGGGAAGTGGAGGCAGGAGGATCAGAAGTTCATGGTCATCCAAGGCCACTTAGCAAGTTCAAGGTCACATAAGACCCAGGGGATGTGAGAATCTGTCTTGATAAATAAATAATAGAATAAATAGGTAAGACTGACAAGGTGATTTATTGGGTAAAGGTGCTTGTTGCCAAGTCTGACGGCCTGTGTTCAATCCCCAGGACTGACATGGTGGAAGGAAAGAACAGACTGTTTCAAATTGTCTTCTGACCATCACATGCATGCCTTGGCAAGTGCTCCCCCTCCAAAAAATAGATTAAATTAAAAAATAAATAAGAAAAGGAGGAAAGAAGCTAACTGATTTTTTTTCTCCTCCCTTGGAAGGGATCTGCCATTTATGAGCTGTGTGATGCTTGGTAGGTTCACTAACCTCTCTGTTTTTGAGTTTCTTACTGGTAAGATGAGAATGATATTTGAATCTACCTCACTGAGATGCTTCTGAGGTTTAAATGTAATGATAGAACCCAGCACACATACCTCTGAACACTTCAGCTATGATACAGTGTTGTGCTCTCTGCATCCGCAAAGGAGGATCTGAGTTCATGGTGTTTAAGGCAGAAGGCAGAGGTCAAGATGTGAAGATGGCAGACGAAGGGATGGGGATGGGAGAAAAGTGTGATGAGGGAAGAGCTGGGGAATGGGAGCTGGGGAGATGGAGGGAGAAAGATGGAGTGCAGAGGAAGAGTGGGAAGGAATGGGCAAAGGAGTGGAGGGACTTGATACAGCAGGCTTGTTTGGAGAAGTGGGTATTGGACTCCAGACCCTCAGTGTCCCTCTCTGCATTTCTTTCAGGAGTGACCCCTGGGACAGGATGAGATTGAAGGTAAATCCTTCCCTCAGATGTGCTTCTGCAGGTGCCCCCACCCCCTGCTCTCCTTCCCTCCTGCACTTCCATGCAAATTCCCTCCAGTGAAAACTTCACAGCCCCTTCTCTTCCTGCTCCAATGGAACTGTGTAGAATGTATTCTTGTGCCACTTGAGATTCTGTTCCTCAAGTATTTACAGGGTGTACCCACTCCTATGAGTTCCAAAAACTCACAAATGATGTATTCTTTATCAAAATTTTAATTCAAATCAGTTTTATTTAAAAATTTCCAAAAATTAAAACTCTTATTAAAAATAAGCTTCCAAGCCCAAGACACAGAATTTCAGCAAACATTCATTACAACAGGAACAAAAAAAATCACTTTTTCCAAGTGGGCCAATGTAAAATACATTCAGAGACAAGTCATGATCAATTCCCAATGCACTAATAGTCAACAGAATCAAAAAGGAAGCCCAGCTCTCACAATCAGTGCCTGAAAGGAACATTTATTGGCCTCTTACAGAATGCAGAAGTGATTCCTGCTACTGCAGTACAAAGAAAGTTGAATTCACAATCCACCATGGAAAAAAAGGGCAAATACTGTGCTTCTTTTCAAGTTATCCTTTCTTATCCTCTGGGATAATCCACACAAGTTTACATATGTACATGTATGCATTATAGGCTAGGATCCATATATGAAAATATGGTACAGATATAAAATGGAATATTATTCAGCCCTAGGAAAAATGAAATCACAGTATTCAAAACAAAAATGAATGAACCTAGACGGTATAATATTGAGTGAAGTCACCCAAAGTAAAAAAAAAAAAAAAATCACATTTTCCCTCATACACAGATCCTAGGGAATACAAGTTTTATAGTGAATCAAAACATTGTTTTCTTTGGTGGTGTTTGAGCTCCCTTCTAACTTCACTCAAGAACCTGCGACTTCAAAGGTCTTTCATTAGCACATTTTATTTATCCCTGCTTTTTGAAATGTTTGTCTCCTTAAATGTATTCTTTGTGGAATTGCTTTTCGTTGTTGTTATTGTTATTATTGTTTTGAGACAATTGTTATTGTTGTTATTGTTATTATTGTTTTGTAGCCCAAGCTGGCCTAGAACTCACTATGTAGACCAAGCTGGCCTTAGTCTCACAGAGATTCACCTGCCTCTGCCTCCTGAGTACTGGGATAAAAGGCGTGTGGAATGTCTTGTTAGTGCCTCCTTGGTAGTTTCAAGGGATGTTATTCTTCTTCATTAATTGTTTCAAGTTGTCCAAAGTTCTTCTGTCTTAAATTTCAGAGCTCCGGGGAGCATTTCTTGAATTTGACAAGGATCACAATGGATTCATTTCTTATAAGGATTTGTGGAATCTCATGAGGACGATGGGTTGTATGTCCACAGAGATGGCGTTGACCGAGCTGGGCCAGCAAATCAGCATGAACTGTGAGGCCAGGGTGGTGGGAGGCACGCCTGGAGTTAGGGGAGCACAAAAGATGGGGTTGAGAAGGGTGCGTGGGTTGAGAGCAGGTTTGGGAATGGAAATCAGGATGAGAGCAGTCCGGGCTACACTTAAGGAGGCTGCGTTTGACATGATGTTAACAACAGATCTAGGGCTGGGGAGATGGCTCAGTGCATGAGAGTCTTTGGCATGCAAGTGTGAGGGTGTGAGTTCAAATCTCCAGAGCCCGCCCAAAGCCAGGTGCTGTAGTGTGTGTCTTTAATCCCCATACTTCCATGGGAAGATGGGAGGTGGTGATAGAATTCCCAGAGAACTGTGGGCCAGCTAGTCTGCTGTACTCAGTGCAGAGCAGCAAAGAGACTGTCTTCCATAATGTAGAAGGCAGGGAGCAACAACTGAGATTATCCTGTGACCTCCATGTGGGACACATGCACCCACACTCACACACACACACAAGTCACAGACAAAGATGAAGGGTGGGCCTGAGAAGGATGTGCAGGTTGAGGGTATATTTTCAAATAGAAAGGTGGTTAAAGGAATTGAGAAGTCTGCAGGAGAGCAGCTCAGACTACATTCAGGAAGGCTGCGTTTGTGGTGTTCAGAAAGGTGACTTTTAAAGGTGGATCTGAATACAAGTCCCACTTTCATTTTTAAATATTAAAAAAATACATTTATGTTTATGTTGAGTGGAAGATGGCTCATGTGCTGACCTATTTCAGGTTTGAAGGGGGAAAGTAAGGAATGGAAGATCAGTGCCTGGGGAATCCTGCTAACCATGCTCCTTTCTCCCCCAGTTGTTGGCCGTGTAGACTCTGAAGACTTTGTGGAGCTGATGACTCCAAAATTGCTTGCAGAGACAGCTGGGATGATTGGTGTCCAAGAGCTCAGAAACGCCTTCAAAGAGGTGAATTAATAACTCCAAAGACAAAAGCCCAGCACTGAACTGGAGTGTCGGGAGCTGGAGAAACAACATTCATTACCAAAAAATATAATATGGCTCTACAAACAGTTGACTTAAGCAGGGCATTCTGCCTGCACTAGTAACCTTGAGAAAGAATTTATGGCAAGGTTATCTTTCTCTTCCCCTTGCAAACAGTTCTCAGAAAAGATAAGTCATGCAGTAATCTCTTGGAACACCTGGTGGTCAGTCACGTTGCTGAATTGCTCAGTTCCCCCACCCCATACCCATAAAAATGCTGTAACCTTTGACCAACTTCTTCAACCCCTTCTAAATACAAACTGTATATAAGGAAAGCTTGCAATACAATAAAGCGACCCTTGACAAGTGGACTTGCTTGGGCTCCGTCTACTCTTTCTCACCCATTTTTCCTTTCAGGGAGTGGTCCCCCTCGACCTTTACCTGTACAGGGTCCCCGCAGGCAGGGGCAAGTGTCGCCTAAACATGGGGTTCAAGGTACGGACCCTTGCCAGACAGAGACGGTTGAAGACAGACCCGGGTACGCGTTTGAGGACAGCCTCCGACAAAGTGAAAGTAACTGCACCGGATCGCCGCCTCGTTTCATCTGCACTCTCACTGCTCATGAGGAGCTGATGATCTGAGGTAAGTTGTCTCTGTCTCAAAAAATGGGCCAGCAACTGTCTAAGGAGGCTATTTTTATTAGGGACTTGAAGGCCTCCCTCAGAGAAAGAGGAGTCCCGAGTTAAGAAAAAAAATCTTGTAAATTTTTTCGTGTTTGTGAGTGACCAGTGTCCTTGGTTTGTTATAGATGGTCCTGAAATCAACCCTAAAAAATGGGACCAAGTGGGACAGTGTTTAAATGAACTATTAAAGGATAAAGGCTCTGAGGCAGTTCCCATTCAGACTTTCAGCTATTGGACATTAGTCCGAGATCTTCTCAAAGACTCTCCTGAAAACAAAAGTAAAATTATTTCCCTAGCTGAGGATTTCATTAAGCCCCTTTCTCGGT